TTTAAAAAATCAACATACATTGGTAGAGCATTGATGGCAACAATCGTTCACTGGGAAAAACATCTGGCAACACAAGTGTTTTGCCATCCTCACTTTCAGATTCCAAGCATGATAAGTGGTCATCCACGTGGTTCTCAATTCATTTCTTATCTTAAACTTCAATGTCGAATTCTTAATGTAACAACACCCAACGAATAAATCTAGGCTTGGTTTCCTTTTTAGAAAACATATACTTCAACACAAAATGGTCGGTATAGACTATTACCTTGGTTCCAAACAAGTATGGTCAAAATTTATCAAATGCAAACACCACAACCAGCAATTCCTTTTCAATTGTGGTGTAATTCACCTAAACGTAATTCAATATCCTGCTAGCATAATGAATAGCATGGAAGACTTGGTCCTTGTGTTGCCCCAACACTGCTTCAATAGTAAAATCACTAGCATCACACATTAGTTCAAAAAGTAAATTCCAATCTGGTGTGATGACAATAGAGCATTGAAGTTCATTATTACCCTTGTAATTTCAGGCACTCTCATAATCATTATTGCCTATCTCCTCAAGTTCATTAATATCCATCATTATTTGTTCCACAACATCAATGAGCTCATAGTTCAACTTCTTAAGTGCCCACATGGCTTTGTGCTCTAGCTCAATGGGTAAGTGACAAGCTTTTCCATACATAAGGCGATAATATGACATACCTAAGGGCATTAAGTCATCCTATAAGCCCAAAGTGCTTCGTCAAGTCTTAGAGACCAAAATTTCCTCGAGGGAGTAACTATTTTTTCTAAGATTTATTTGATTTCATGGTTAGATACCTCGGCTTGACCATTTGTTTGAGGTTGATATGCTGTAGCAATGCGATGTTTTGGACTATAACGCTGTAGGGCATTTGCTACTTGTCTGCCAAAAAATTGGGAACCTTCATCACTAATAAATGCTCGTGGTGTTCCGAAATTAGTAAAAATGTTCTTGTGGAGGAATCAGAGAACTGTTTTAGCATCACTTGAGGGTAATGCTATAGTCTTAACCCATTTGGACACATAATCAGCTGCAACAAGAATGAAAGTATTACCACAAGATGATGGATAAGGTCCCATAAAATCTAATCCCCAAATATCAAACAATGCAATCTCCTAGATAGGTTGCACCGGCATCTCAATGCGTCTCAAAATGTTTCTCGTCCTTTGGCATCGATCACAGTGCTACACAAAAACGTTGGTATCCTTGAAAGCGAAGGCCAATAATAACCACATTGGAGGACTTTTGCTACTATACGTATGCCTTCAAAATGTCTGTCGTAAGGTGTGTTGTGGCAATGTTACAAGATGATGTGTTGTTCACACTCAGGAACACACCTTCTCAAGAGTTGGTCATTACATTGCTAAAAAAGATAAGGTTCTTCCCAAAAATGCTTTGACATCCCTCATGAATTTCCTTCTATCTTGGTGTTAAGATCTGGTGGTAGCATGCCACTAACTAAATAATTTAAAAAATCAACATACAATGGTAGAGCATTGATGGCAGCAATCGTTCACTGGGAAAAACATCTGGCAACACAAGTGTTTTGCCATCCTCACTTTCAGATTCCAAGCATGATAAGTGGTCATCCACCTGGTTCTCGATTCATTTCTTATCTTAAACTTCAATGTCAAATTCTTAATGTAACAACACCCAACGAATAAATCTAGGCTTGGTTTCCTTTTTAGAAAACATATACTTCAACACAAAATGGTCGGTATAGACTATTACCTTGGTTCCAAACAAGTACGGTCAAAATTTATCAAATGCAAACACCACAACCAGCAATTCCTTTTCAATTGTGGTGTAATTCACCTAAACGTAATTCAATATCCTGCTAGCATAATGAATAGCATGGAAGACTTGGTCCTTGCGTTGCCCCAACACTGCTTCAATAGTAAAATCACTAGCATCACACATTAGTTCAAAAGGTAAATTCCAATCTGGTGTGACGACAATAGGGCATTAACTAGCTTGGATTTGATTGTCTTAAAAGATTTCAGAACTTCAGCATCAACCATGAATTTATTGTTTGCTCCATTGATGAACACAATGCTTTGGCTATTTGGGAGAAATTCTTAATAAACCTTCGATAAAAACCTGCATGCCCTAGAAATCTTCTTGCGACTTTCTCATTTGATGGTGGAGGTAATTTCCAATGACTTCGACCTTGGCTTTATCCACTTATATTCCTCGTTGAGAAATACGATGCCCCAACATTATACCTTCAATTACCATGAAATGGCATTTTTCCCAATTTAACACAAGGTTGGTCTCTTCACATCTCTTTAAAACAGTGCTAAGTTGTAAAGACATTGCTTAAAATCTTACCCAAAAATAGAAAAAACATCCATGAAAATTTCCAAGCAACCTTGAATTATAACAGAGAATATTGACATCACGCAACGCTGGAATGTTGTTGAAGCGTTACATAAGTTGAATGTCATTCTTCGAAAAGCAAAAGTTTCATAATGGACAAGTGAAAGTCATTTTACCTTAATCTTCATGGGCTATAGCAATCTGATTGAAGTTGTTATACCCATCAAGGAAACAATAAAAGGCTTTTCCAAAAAGTCTCTCCAGCATTTGATTAATGAACGACAACATAAAGTTATCCTTTTTTATAGCTTTATTCAACTTGTGGTAGTTCATGAAAATTCTCCATCCCCTAGTTGTACATGTGGGAACCAACTCATTATTCTAATTTGTTACCACGGTGATTACACCTTTCTTAGGGATACATTGTATAGGGCATATCCAATTACTGTTAGAAATGGGTATATGATCCCAGCATCCAACCATTTTATGACTTCTTTTTGAACCACTTCTTTCATAATTGGGTTCAGTCATCTTTGCTGCTTAATAGAACTACTACTCGAATCCTCTAAGAGAATTTATGCAAGCAAAATGATGAGCTTATCTCTTTTATGTCAGTAATTCCCCAGGTAATAGCCTTCCAACTTGCTATAGCACGGAAATCAAACTATCAACTTGAGATACTGTAAGCTTTGTTGCAATGATAACTGGCAGAGTATCATTTTTTCCAAGAAAAGTATATCTCAAATGCTCGGGCAAGGGTTTGAGCTCAAGCTTAGGTGGGTCATCTATAGATGTCTTTGGTGCTTGAATCAATTGATCAGGAAGGTGTAATGACTCAAAGTGTTGCATGAAAGTTCCTTCCTCATCGTCCTCAATTCCTTCAAATACTATAGTATTGGTTGTAACAACTCTCATGTTGTAACTTTCATCTAAATGCTCATGTACATAAACATCAAAAGCATCAATACTAATACACTTGGCAGTATTATCCATATAAGAAACATTTTTCAAAACATTGAAAGTAATATATTAATCATTTAAGTGCATAGTGAGTTCTCCCTTTTCCACATCGATTAATGCTTGCCCTGTAGTAAGAAAGGGTCTTCCAAGAATGATTGTAACTTCCATATTAGCTTCATAATTGAGTATAATGAAGTCAATTGGGAATATGAACTATCCACTCGAACCAGCATATTCTCCACTATTCAACTTTGGATGCACGGTGATATTATTAGCAAGTTGTAGCATCACGGTTGTTGGCCATGTGTCTCCACTTTCAACTTTCCTAAAAATATATCATGGCATTAAGTTAATGATAGTACCTAAGTAGCATAAAGCTTTACCAATAAACTGGCACCAAATCTCTGTGTCTTTAAGCTTTGGTGGTAATCTGCTTGTGGCCATAGCGCTGCAGCCTTCAGTCAATGCAAAAGTTTCGAACTCACCTAGCCTCTTCTTTTTGGATAGTAATTCATATGTGAATTTGATGTACTTTAGGTTTTTCTCCAAAGCATCTATCAATGGAATGTTGACTGTTAGTTAGCGAAGTAGATCAATGAACACTTTAAATTGTTGATCTTTCTTGGTCTTTTTAAAACTTTGAGGAAACGGAGAAGGAGGTCTTTAAGTTTCTTGATTTTGATATAGTTGTGGCATTATGGGTGTAATAGGAGCATTGGTTAGGTAATTCTAGTAGAATTACCTCATTATCTATAGTATTTGTGGCAAATGTGTCTTGTGATACCTCATTATCTTTGGGTTGTTGCTCATCATCTTTCTTTTTGTTCTCAAAAGTGGGTCTCCCAATATGAATTCCACTCCTAATTCTGATGACCTTCCAATGCTCATTACAATGAGCCTTCTCATGAGCATTAAGGACTTTGGTATCACTAGGTAGCATCCATGGTTTCCTGTTACTTAAGGCATTGGCCAAATGAACAACTTGGTTTTCCAACGCTCTTAAGATGCTTATTGGGTTTGGATTAAGGCTTCACTCATTTGATTTATTGATTTATTTCTCGAAATGTACTCATTTAGTAGGGACAGAAGATAAGTCAAATTTGACGCATGATTAGATTTTTCCCTTGATAATTCTGCCTTTGATGTGGCATAGTCGGCTGTTGATTGAAGTATTATTGCTGGTTGCTGAAGTTGGATTGTACAATATTTGGATTGGCTATGTTTTGACTCCTCCATGACAAATTGGGATAGTTGCGATAGTTGGCATTATATGAATTCCCATACATGTTGGCATTTTCTCCCATATTAAAATTTCTTATAAAACAAATGGACTCGGTGTTTTGTCGGAATTCATTATAATTATGTGCATATCCAAAATAAACACAAGAGGGGGAGAAACATTTTTGCCTTATGCATGCCACCCAGCCTTTGCAATTTCTTTACCATATCCGTCAATGATGTAATTTGATACATCATCGAGTTCAAAGCGTCAGTGTCTGGTGATGCAGCATTATGTTTACCAAACATGTTCCTCGTATCGGGGTATTAATAGTCATTATTAGAAATCTTCTCCAATATATCATATGTTTCATTGTACGACTTGTCCAGTAGTGCTCCATTTTCTGAAGCATCAACCACTATGCAAGTGTGCATATTTAACCCATTATAAAACATCTCCACTTGCATCCAATGGGGAAATCCATGCATCGGGCACTTTTAGAGTAGCTCCTTGAAACTTTCCTAAGCTTCATATAAATATTTGTCTTCAAGATTCTAAAAAGAGGTAATGTCATTCCTTAGCTTTGCATTCATATTAGGAGGATTAAAATGCAACAGAATTTTTTGAGTGAGTTTATTATAGGATGTTATAGAACCTGGTGGTAGCGAATTGAGCCAAGATCTAGCTTTATCGCGCAGTGAATATAGAAATAACTTTAGCTTCAGCCCCTCTTCAGGAACTCCTTGCTATACAAAGGGATCACATACGTCCATGAATTATATAAGGTGTGCTCTTGGATCTTTAGTGAAAGAACTGCTATATTACCCCAAAAACTACAATATTTGGAACATTACCAATTGGCAGCTTGGATGGTTGGTCATACTATTCTGGGATGTAAATCATCTAATGTAGGGACGATGTGTTCCTTGATCGGTCTATTGTAATCATACATATGGAAATAATGTTGCTGCTCAACTCCAATGTTATAAAACATTTCTCCTTCGTGTTGTAGCGGTGGTATAACATCATGTGGTTGATCACCCATTTGAATTTAGTTTCGATTAGCTTCTCGTCGAAGATGTCTAAAGGTTCTCTCAATCTAAGAATCAAATGGTACCAATTTGTTACCTTCAGACATGCAATAGAAAAGTACATAAAAAAACAAAAGAGTTAGTAAAATAAAACAAAACTAAAAAATAAACAGTTGCTCCCCTGCAACGGCGCCAAAAATTTGATGCTCTAGAAAATACTATAGCATAGTGCAAGCATACACTATTGTATCAAAGTAATAAAGTAGAAATCCTTTTGGTATTTTGGATATCAAACCCACAGAGAGCAGATAGTTTATAATTAAGTTAACGAAATAAATTTTGGTTGAAATTGTATGTAAAGGAAACTAGTATTCAAAGAGAAAATATAATGGAATAGAGGAAGGTCATGCTACAACATTGGAAATAGCACAGAGTCAAAAATCAAATAAAGTGGGATGATAAATGGGATTCCTTGTTCAATTCATGCATTTAACTTAACTACAATGTATTTAACACCAATTGCTATAAATGGATTAATATGAATTAGGTCTCACTAAGACATTCAATCACATAGTAATAATTCTATATATTGGCAATATACATCTCGTCATGCATTTGCTTCTTACAATACCAACGCCATGAAATTAGTATGAAAAGCATTCAATTTATTTCTAAAGAAAATAAAAGCATACATTAAACAATGAAATCTCTTTCATCATTCATAAACATAAGGCACAAAGTAGAAAATTAAACAGTATTCATATAAATAAGGTACCACCCAAATGACTAAGTTTGAAACATTCAACATCCCAAATATAAAATTCAAGTAGATAAACTTCCCTATCTTAGAAAAAAGTTTAAGTAGTTGAGTGATCTTGCTAACTGTCGAAGCTACTCGGCAAAGCTGACTCCCAGATGCTGCAGCACTCGACGCTCGATGTAGCTTAGGCGAGCATGGAAAAGTGACAAGAGATTTTGTGTGAAAGAGGATAAAATAAAGAATTGATGATTAAATGAGTTGAGGTAGGTCCTATTTATAGGTAAGGAGGTCAAAATAGTATCCATTGGGTATTCATCATGTAACACCTAGCTGTCTCGGTTCCAAAAGGTATGTCTAGACTGGTGAGTTATCAGTTGTTGTAGCATTTACTTCTTCGCTGCAACATCTGCACTTTTTAGCAAGAAAATCAAAATTAGCCTAAGTTAACCAAACTTTAAACAATGAAAAATATATATAAAAATAAGAATAACTAAACGTAAAATGCTATTAAACATACTTAATTCCATGTCAAACCTAGATAAAAAGTTGTAAATTGATAACTCTTTCGGAGAGTTATCACCAGCCAATCATCTCTAAGGCCACAACCACCTTCACAAGGCTACATTGTTAGATGGATACCCAACCCCACTATTCACATGAGGATGTATTCTTCTGCCAGCCAATTATCTCCAAAGAGGCATAAGAGTCATACTTGATTTTATTGGTAGCATAAACCTTTTGTTTGATATTTTTTGAGTAGTGCATTTAACATACATTTGACCATCATGTTTCGATTAGTTTATATTGTTACAATTTTTGTTGATAGCTGAAAAGAGTTTATACATGCTCCAAGATTTGGTTTGGAAATGTCTTTTTTGTTTATGTATATTGGTCAAACATGTGATGCATATCATATATTGGTCTGGAAATGAATGCAATAATATTTTTGTATGTTTGCTTTCGTAAGACAAATTTAAATTTAAGATACAACTTTAACATTTCATTAATACTTAAAGCACAACATTGACAAAACAACAAAAGAAGACAAAAAATAGATAAAATGTTAAGTGAGTAACATTCTAACATATCTTATAACCCCTAGATCACTCCCATAAAGAAGATAACAAAAGAAGTAAAAATCCAACAAAATTTGCATTTGCTTTGTTCTTGCTCAATTGCTCCAATCTTTTATAGAAGACAAAAAATAATACTTTTTGACAAAAAAAATTGGTGGATCATACCAATAAAAAATTTGCAAACACTAACCCCTTTTCCTAAATTTCCACATCCTCAAAACCACCTACATGGATTTTCATCGATCCCGGTTGTTTTTAGCATAGTACAAACTCCACAGAAGCTCAAATAGTTCATGTTTTATGCATCAGTGCTTCAATTTTAGTGTTTCTTCTTCTTCCTTCACTTTACTCTTTGTTTCTTCTATTTTAGCATCCACTTTAGGGATTTTAGAATAGGGAAAATTTGAAATAAGGAGGTTTAGGGTTACTTTAGATAACAACAAAGAGAGACAAATTTTTTTCTTATGTGGCATTGTAACGTGGTCTTATGCATATCCAACATGGAAATAAAAAGGTCATGGAAAATCCATGCCAAACGTATTGTTAGTTTTCTACCGGAGAGTGGCTTGATCAAACCATTTAGAAACTTGGGTGGTTTGATTATAAAATTGAAATGTTGGTGGTCAAAAAGATTTTTTACCATAGTTTGGTGGTCCCCCTTCTAGCTGACCCTTAATTATATTTAATTTATGGATAAACTACATCATATACCACTGAACTTTAGTCGTTATATCATTTATACCACTGAACTTTAAGTTTTACAAATTATAACACTGAACTTTAAGTTTTACAAATTATAACACTGAAATTTGGTTTTCATTTCAATTATACCACTGAACCGTTAAATCATTAATGAAATGATGACGTGGCTAATAGTTATCAACGTGGCTAATGCCTGTCGACATAGACACCTCACTAAAATGACGTTGTTTTGATCTGATTGTTAATGATTTGAAGGCCCAATGGTATAATTGAAATAAAAATCAAAGTTCAATATTATAATTGGCAAAATTAAAACTTTAGTTGTATGAACGATACAACACTTAAAGTTCTATGGTATCTCATGTAGTTTACCCTTAATGTAATATTAAGGAGGATCGAATTGTTAGAGTCTAAAAATTTTGTGCTAGTTATTAAAATCCTAAGAATTTTAGGGACCTAAAACTGAATTTAACCATCCATTATTTGCTGGAAAAATAATAAATATGTAGAAATTAGGATTTAAACCCATGTCATGTTCTCTGGACACCAAATAAGTTTTTCCCCTTTCCATAACTCAAGAAAAATACACAAAATCAAACCAATACTTAAACATTTCAACTCCACCATCAATTCTCTCCGTCAAGTAACCACCGACCGTTTATGGCATACACCGTCATTACCCACGTGAACTCTTTCAATCCACGTCCAAACCCCAGCGACCCAATCATCGAGAAACGTCTTCATTTGTCATAGAGAGTGCTTCAAAGCCACAGCGGAGCCCAAAATGGTCATCATTATTTTCGTCATTTTTCAATCGATCCAATCAATGTTGCACAACAACGTCACCACCATTGTAGTCCTTTTGCAGCTCAAATCAAAACTCAAGTGGTTTGGTCAACCTAGTCGACGTAATTTCCTCTGTCCATCGTGGGTAATTTATCCGACCACTTTTCCTCATTTTTCGTCATATATTTTAGCTTGTTTCCGAGTCAATGCGGTTAAATTTTGGTGAATAGTTTTTTTAAGCATTTGGATGGCCATAACCGTCTTCTAGGTCACTGTGTGTGTCATCACACATCGTCATTATATGTGGGGTAGGTCCTCTAATCGAGAACCCTCTAAAATCAGTTTGGTCAAATTGAACCATGTCAAATCGTTTTGGACTGAGTTAACCCGAACCGCGTCAACTCGAATGGAGTCAAAACAAACCAAGCCTTTAAATTTGATCAAACATTTGACTTTGACCGAACCGTTTACTTTGACCATAGTTGACTTTGAATTTAACCAAAATTTTACTTTTTGAAAAGTCATATTTTAGGTTTTTTGACATCATGAGTCTAATTTAGCGGTACGTTTTGCCAAATTCTAACTCGAAAGCCCTGAAATAATCCTATTAACCCTAAAATGCATTAATAGTTTTAGTATTTTAATATGATAATTGGATTTTGAATGCATACTTGATTTGAGAACTTATTTTTATGAAGGTACTCATGTTTCCACGATCGAGAGTCACTAGATCTGGTGCTTATCGTCTAGCAGATCTGCATGGTTCGTGTACTCTGAGAGTTACTCAAGGGTTTGTATAAATTACTTAAATGAGTTTATAATCCATTATATCAAGATAGTAATTGAATTTCCTTTGTACTTAGGTTCTAGTACTGCTGTAGACCGTGATAGGCAGACCCACCAATAGACTACTTTATTAAACTTCTCAAACTGATATAGGTGTGTTCCTAATGGTGTTATATTATCGTTTAATATCTATTTAACTGATTCAATTTGAATTCATGTTCGTATTGGATATTTTAAATGGCATGATATATGATTTACGATATACCTTCGGTTTGATCTTTGATTTTCAATATGTTTCTTGTATGATCTTTCGTTACCGTATTTTCTAAATATGATTCTAAATTATGGATTGCTTCATGTTTTAAATAAATTAAACTATCAATTTAACATAAATACATGCACACTTATTTCTACCATGGGGTTGAGTTATTAAATGATGAAGT